GTGTGTTTTACATGAAAACGAGAAATACTGAGCATCTAATTGATTACAGATCGGTCAAAAGTAAAAGATGAACAAAATTATTTGATTCTCTTCAAGTTGTTTGCCTTGTGCCAAAATTGTTATTTAAGTTGGTGGCACTATCAATATCTGTGGGCAAGGCCCTATCGTCCATTGTGAGGTGGCAGACAAGCGGCCAAAAAATATTGAAGGCCTCCCTTTATATTTTTCTTTATCTTCAGAAGATGTGTGTTCACATGAGAGTCGACTCCTGAAAAGGTCAGACGGGGCTCCAATTAGCACTTGAAACGGCTAACACACACACACACACACACACACACACACACACACACACACACATGCGCGCGCGCACACACACACACACACACACACACCACACACACCATCTCAACAGTTACTACGTTGGAATAACAAAAATATGGGTTACTATAGCCTAGGTATCTATCGTCATGTAAGGCCACTTCACGGCAGCGGATGCTTCTTTTATACCGGAAAAACGGTAAGCTATTGGCTAGCCTATCTGTGGCTTTTCGAGAGCGAAAATAATCTGACCTAAGGCAGGACAACTCAATGTTTAGGCCCTATAGGTCTATCTAGATTTTAGATCTGGATTCTATATCTAGATCTAGAATCTAGATCTAGAATCTAGATCTAGATCTAGATATCTAGATCTATAATAGATCTATCATAATAAATAAAGGACCTTAAAATTAAAATGACAACGATTACAAAAAAATACATGTATGATATGAACAGATGGGATACTGTGTACTCACTGTAAAATTTTAAAATCCTATTGAGTTCATCCCTCTGATCTGACACAAGTAGAAATCTAGATATATTTATATTATAACACAAACAGCACAGCGCACAACAGGAACCCGAAAACACGCAGTTCCCAAGAAAAAAAGCGGCCTCCTGCGCTGCCCTGGTTGCAGACGGCGCTGGAACTGAGTGAAAAAAAAATCGATAAACCACTCTGATGTATCTAAAGCGATGACTAACAGCCCTAAATATCCAAGACACAATTTCAGAAACGTCACATTTGTGAGGAGGCGATCATTATCAGACCAAGTATCAAAACAAGACCGTGAAACAGATTACATGGGTTGAAATGGAGTAAAATCAGAGCACAAAGATTTGCACCGCCTCTCTTACCGGCAAACAGCGAAGGACTCGTCCGCGATTCGTCACGCTTCGATTCCAATGCTAGTGGTTGGACAGCCAAAATTAGCTCTAAAAATTTTGGCCAATGAAATTAATGGATCTCCGTATCTGCTGTCCCATAATGTTTGGCATCATGGAGGAATGTGGTGTAAACAATGCTTGTATGCGGAAATGTTTTGTTAACTTTTTGTGATTTTTAATATAATTTCACAATTCTTAAAAGTATTGTCATTTTCAGACGATCCATGCACAATGGTGAAACAGACTATTCAAATATTTGCCCGAGTGAAACCCACGAAACCAACAAAGACTGGGGTACGTTTGGTTGACATGGTCATGGACGTCATGTCATGGCACTCATGGACTCATGGACATAGAATCTAGATCTAGACTAATTCTAGATCTAGATCTAGATCTAGTCTAGATCTAGAATCTAGATCTAGATCTAGATCTAATCTAGATCTAGATTCTAGATCTAGTAATAATGCAAGAAAGTTGTCGGTGTCGTTTTGTAGTTCATATGTGTTGCCTTCTTAGATTGGTCTTGATTCGATGATAGTTATTCCACTCGAAAAGCAAGAGCAGCATGCATAGTTTGAAGCAATTGTCTTTACTAGATCTAGATCTACTCATTATCACAATTAATGGATGCTACTACTACTGGCTTTTTCAAACATGCGATTAAAGGTAGAAAGACGCAAACTATTTTTAGGTAAGGCGCCCATCTTCATCTTGTTTGACATCAGACCAGGATATACCCCTCCGATCATGTAACCACATCTAAGTATAGCCAACCACATGGCACCAAAGATGGATGTCTATATCATGCTTAATCTACAGCTCTCTCTCGGAAGTTCTGATGGCTGAATAGACAGCGCGTCTGCGTTTGAAGTCGTGCAATGATTTATGGTTCGATCTCGGACCCGGACAGTTTTCTTTTTAAATTCTCTTCTCCTCCTCCCGAC